TATATATTAAAAGAAGTATTAGCTGGGCATGGTGGCATACGGCTGTAATTCCAGCACTCCCCTGTCATCCCAGCATTGGAGGCTGAGGCAAGAGGATTGCTGCAAGTTCAAGACCAACCTGGGCTACAAAGTGAGCTCAAGGCCAGCCTGAGCTGCATACCGAGACCCTGTTTCAAAAAAAGACATAAATAGATAAATAAATAAAATAAAAAATATTGCCATTGATCCTCTTCAAGACACTTAAAATACCTGCCTGGTTTTGAATACATTTACCCATCATGCTTAGCAATGTCTTTTACAGTATGTGGGTTTTTTCTTTGAACATTCACTTTTTTTTTTTTTTTTAATGTATTTGGTACAGGGTTTCACCAGGCAGCTTGGACCGTCTTTCAGCCTCCCCAGCACTAGAATTACAGGCATGTGCACCACATGTAGTCCTGATGGCCGGCACAGCATGTGGTCCTGGGAGTCAAATGCAGGCCCTTGTGCTGGCCAGGAGGCACTTAGACTGCTGAGCTGTCTCTCTGGCTCCCACCATTTTCTGATTGCCCTTGGAGTACCCCATGATCCAATAATCTTCCAAAAGCCCTGACTGTGAACACATGAGACTTCTGAGGGCCATTCTGGGTATGAAATAAACCCACTTCCACCCACTACATAATACATGTGCAATTCCACTGTTAGGGCTTTTTACGGTGAAGAGGGCATTTCCTGAGGTATGAATGCTCAGGGTTTCTTCATTGAGCTACATCCCTAGCCCCTTTTTATGTTTTGGTTTGGTTTGGTTTGCTTTTTTTTGAGGGGGGAACAGGCTCCCACTGTCCTTACCTAGGCTAGGCTCAATCTCCAATTCTTCGGCCTCAGCCTCTTAGAGCACTAGGAACACCACGCAGATGTGTATCATCATGCCCAACCTAGGACAGTTGTTAAATGTGTCCTTACTTTGATCAGATTTTCAGAAATTCTTATTTCTGTCTTAACCCTTTGTTATAACTGTACCACTTCTCCTTTCTAGTCTTCCTAAATATTTGCTCTAAGCTTTGGAGAGGGCTTAAAACGCTACAGCAAGACTACGTGTTCCCGCTGTTATAAAATAATGTGCACTAGCTGGCACGTGCCTGCAATCCCAGCACTCAGGAGGCTGAAGCAGGAGGATCACTGAGAGTTCGAAATCAGCCTGGATTACAAAGTAAGCTCAAGGCCAGCCTGAACTCCATGGCAAAACCGTGTCTCAAAAGGACCAATAAACAAATAATAAATAAAATAACATGCACTCTCCTTAAATTATGTCTACAGACCTAGAATTGGTTCAGTTTAGTTTTGAGATATTCTATGTCCCCACTGATTCATTGTGATTCGTTGGAAAATAAATGAAACTTGTATTTGAAAGGGATTGGAAAATGTACCCTGAATCATTTCTATTAATTTTTCTTTTCTTTTTTTTTTTTTCCAGTACCAGGGATCAAACTCAGGACCTCATGCTTGCCAGGCAAGAGCTTATGATGCTGAGCTATCTCCCCAGCCCTCAATTTTTCAATATGGAAAAATGGTTATGATTGCAGATTTTCCTTAAATGGTAATCTTTTACTTAAATTTCCTTACTTAGCCTTTGGCTGGCAGAAAAGTATTTCAGTTTAATCATACTAGGGCTGGGGAGATAGCTCAGTGAAATAAGTGCTTGCCTGGCAAGCACAAGATCCTGAGTTCAATCCCTAGTACCAAAATAATAATAATAATAATATAGTTCTTTCAAAAGTTAAATGATTTTCAAGTTATAATTATAGAATGTGTAACTTTTGTATTATACTTCCGAAGTATTTTATTAGTAGAGTCCCCCAAATATGCTTATAGTCAGATGGCAGTTTTGGTGGGGAGGAACTACCCACTTGGGTGCCCCCTCCTGTCCGTCTCCCAGACAGGAGCTTTCTTTCTCTCAATAAATATATTCTACTCATAAAAAAAAAAAAAATGGCAGTTTTGTGTGTGCACACACACACACACCCCATCTACCAATTATCAAAGTAAAAGAGCTAAAGTGCAAATATAGTTCTTCTGGAAATAATAAAAATTTAATATGCCTAATAACATTTTTGGTAGAAATGTAAGAAAAAAATTCTATGAGATGAAACTATCAAATAATATTTACTTGGCACTGGGAGAGAAAAAGTAAGAAGTACTAATATATGTGGATAATGTGGATGAATCCTAATAACATTAATGAATGAAAAGAGGGGCTGGTGAGATGGCTCAGTGGTCTAAAGCACCTACTTAGAACAAGCTTACCAAAGAACAAGGACCGCGGTTCAATCCCCCAGCACCACATGCAAGCCAGCCCCGCCCCCTGGTGGGCTGAGCTGGCCACACACACACACACACACACACACAAATAAATTTTTAAAAAATGAATGAAAAGATACACAAAAGGCCATATATTGCATGATTCTGTTTGTATCAAATATTTAGACAACCAAATTCACAAAGCACAAAGTAGATTAGTGTTTGTCAGAAGCCAGATAGTGAAGGAGATAGGGAGTGTGGCTGGTAATGGGAACCGAATTCTTCCTGGAAAAAAAGAAAATGTCAATACTCTCTTTCAGGGTCACAAAAATGCCTTGGCACTGCACAGTGCTATGCGCTGCAGAGCTCTGTGAACACACCACAAGCCCAGCAGTGTGCACTGCAGGCTGGACATGCAGTCCAAGGGGACTGTATCAGCCCAGTGAGTGCAGGCCTGGGTTCCATCAAACAAAAAGAACTGAACAGGTCAATCACCAGCACCACAAAAAAAACCCTGAAAAAGCAGCAAAAAGGGCAAATTTTATGGCATGTAAATTGCATCAATAGTTTTTAATTTATCGTTCAAATTTCATACATTCATAAATTTTCCCTGTCAGCAGTTAAAAAAAAATATTATGGTCCTTATGAAAAGCAAGCCCAGAAAGGCAGGCCTTGGGCTAGAAGACGGAGCTTCAGACTGCAGCTTCAGCGGAATACGCAGCTCCTGCTCAGAACAGGGGCCCCAGTCATGCCTACTCCACGTAGGCTGTTTCTCCAGTTATAGGAATGATGAACTGTTACACCACTGTCTTCCAGCCATCAGAGAAAATGTTTCTGATTTTCCAGAGTCTGTACTATACCTGTTACAGACAGATAATGCAAGCGAAAATGTGAAAATTCATTTTCTCCTTTGACCTCATCAGGTACTAAGCAATCACTGCTCTATCAGTGGCTCTACCATTTTTTTTTAAATCTTTTTATTTATTTGGTACAAGGTCTCGTAGTAATTCTCCTGTCTCAGCCTCCCCAGCCCTGGGATTACAGACATGCGCCACCACGCACTGTGGGTGGCCGGCCAGGAGCACCCGGGCTTCTGGGGTCTGAGGCCGGCCCAGCATACGGTAGCAGGGATCAAACCTGGGTCCTTGCACTTGCCAGGCAGACTGAGCTGAGCTGTCTCTCCCCAGCCCTGAGTGGCACTGCTATTATTACAAAGAACTCTGCCGATTCGTACAATCACTGAATTGCCACAGGGCTCATCACTAGACGC